CWKCWKCAWMMKAYGATTTTGTCAATTTTGATYATCTGGCCAACCGCAGCTTAGATTATTGCTGTACCCGTAGACTTTTTCTAAAGCGTTTTTCAAATAACCTATTTAAAATCATAGTTCTGCGTGCCTCCCACGTTGAAAATATTAAAAGCAATAGTAAAGATAGCATCGTATATAAATCGTTGTGATAACAAATAAAACTGAATTGAAAAAAGGACGTTTTGCAAGCTGTTACTTAGGCTGGTCTATTCCAACGGACGGCGAATACCCGAACGACARCAAGTCCTCTGTCTTTTTACCGCCAACGGGAGTGTATATTGACAGACCATTCAGTTGAATGGTTTGATGTATCAAAACTCAGTTTCAATAAAAACTCCGGCCTCTATAATAATAAACAACACTTGTCTATCGAGTCCTCATAGCACAAGTTTCGGTTTTAGTAAAAACCCAAATAAATAAAACATTTCGAAAGATTATACTCGACATTTTAATAGCAACAAAAAAGACTATTTTCTTTTTCATCTTATCCAAATCATTCTTTCCTGAAAATTGTGAAGTTGTACGAAATGTAATTGATCTGCGGAAGAACCGTACCCTTTTTGACAGTAATTACATCAACCTTAATTTAACTTGTCAATATTGGCTAAATTAAAATTAAAACTGATTTGGAGATCATTCGTGTTTATCTTGCTTTCTTTATCTCTCTTTCTGATAACATGCTGCGATGATAACAAACTTCAGTACAGCCAACCAGTAAGTCACCTACAAGAAACAGCATTTTCAATCTGTTTTTCTCTTATAGCTTAGTAGACCTGGATTGTTTGTCAATACAAAATGTCTTGTTGTCAGGATCTAAATTAGGATCATATCCCAAGCCACGACCACGACTTGATCGAGTAAAATCAAACGCTCTCTTGTACTGTTCCTCTAGAGCGTTATTATATTCCGTTTCCCGCCTCTTCGACATTGCGCCAAAAGTTTTGCTAGCCTGACTCGAGGTTTGACCTGATTCAGGCTTGCTGGACTTCTTAAAGCCTCCCATAAGTCGGAGAAATTTCTCTTTTCGCTCATCACTTTCGAACGATGCATTGCCCCAGTTGTTGAACTGAAAATAGCATTAACAAACAACGATTAGAGATGCTTTTTGAGAAACAAAATGATCAAGAATTACGTGAATCATGGAGACATATTCTCTTGAAAATTGAAACTATCGTAACATAATGGCAAATGGAGGGAGGACTTTAATTTCACAACGTTTTGGAGTAAAACTTAGTATTAGAATCATTATTGATCAAAAACGCAATTGTCRACATGATGGTTACATCATCATCATAATTTACTTGTGATCTGTAATTTCAACTCACATTGCAATAATAAAAATGATTACAATGAAAATAAACAATTGAAAGAATGAAAAATGGACAAAGCATCGCTTACCTGATTACCAAGAGTGGGTGGAAAGTATGAAGCACTTTCTCCTCTTCCAGYAGACTGATCTTGTTCAGACTTTTTTCTCTTCTCTTTTCTGCTTTTCTTTTTTTCATCCTTTTCACTCTTTTCTCGCTTCTTGTGCTTTTGYTTCTTTTTCTTTGATTCTTCATCTGAAGAAGAATCACTTTCACTATCTTCACTGCTACTYTTTTGCTTTTTGTGTTTTTTCTTGGCCTTTTTTGGTTTATCCAATGACTCCTTTTTGTTCTTGTCAAGTTTCTTTTTCTTCATCCTTGGTTCATCGGAATCACTGGTGTTGCTTTCACTCTCTTCGCTACAACTTTTTCTGTGTTTTTTCTTGGACTCTTCTGGCTTGTTCATCTCATTTTTTTCTGTCTTCTTGAGTTTCTGTTTCCTTGGCTCTTCAGTATCACTGTCATTGTCATCACTTGAACTCTTCTGATCTTTTTTCTTAGCCTTTTTCGCTTTGTCAGGACAGTCCTTTTTGCTCTTTTTAAGTTTCTTTTTCTTTTTTGTAGGCTCATCAGTGTCACTGTTAGATTYGCTGTCTTCACTAGAATAGTTTTGCTCTTTTTTCCTTGTATCATTACTTTTGACCTCACTTCTTTTTCTTTTTCTTTCAGAATTTGAATCAGAAGCACTGCTTTCATTACTGTCCTTTTCAAACTTTTTGCTTTTCTTATCTTTACATTTCTTTTTCTTAGCATGGCTTTTCCCTTCACTTTCACTTGAAGAGCTTTCATTTATCTCTTCTTTTTCTGACTTCTTTTTCTTAGCTTTGTTCTTTTTCTTTGACATTTCTCTACTARTGGTCAACTTTTCYTCGTCATRGTTGTCTTCAAGGTCAGCCTCTATGTTTGATTGAAATACATTTTCTTTAATTGTTTTTCTTTCTTTGTCTTTTTTCYTCTTTTTTTTCTTTTTAYTTCCATCAGTATTAGTRTTGTCAACATCCTCTTTAGATTTCTTTTCTTCTTGTTCATCCATTCTCTTACCTAAAGAATAAATAAAATAAGCTAGAATGTTAACAGAAATTGTTTCAAAAGACAGCAATCCATGGGCATAAAATATCTCATCGCCACATCCAAAGATCTGGATAGCGCTTCCCTTTCCTGTTTGTGTGCCACAGGAATCCCAAGAATGTAAGTTGGTAAAATCAAAGTCTCATTCACTAAAGTTATACAGTTATAATGTGTACCAGTTCTTTGAACCTTCATTGGAGCCTTTTTCCAGSGCTAACTCYATAGGTGTCTAAAGATTTACATTAAACAAGCCTTCTGCAACTAACTTGAGCTAGCATGTTTATAACAGGAAAAGCAATCCATATGAAAACGGTGCAAAACAGACCTACACTTAAAATGATATGGCACCAAAGCTTTTTATATAAATCTAAGTTGATGGTTTTTATTTTATGTATCAATGTAAAATGTTATATAAACTGTACTCTCACATAGTTTTCATTCAATGTACAGAGAAGCAAGCTCATGTATTGAACTCTAATTATTGAATCCCAAAGAATTTAAGATAATTTTATAATGTACCAGTCTTTTGCAAAAGCCAAAATGCTTCATTACTTCATTTCATTTCAGACATTCCTTTAGTTTGATTAACAACAGAACTAGATTTGTCATGATATAAATTTGCACGTGCCGAAAAACAGCTGAAAGAACATTGGATGTACAATCAAACAGTTTTGAATCCTCTAAACCGGTCAGTGAAACTACTAAGATAAAGACTGAAAATAAGTTATCAACAGTGTACCTTTGAACGATGAAATTATCAACGATTGGTACTGGCTAATATCTTTATCTACTGAACCCCTGGCGTACCACCAAAACACTGGACAACAGACTTGGTACATGGCCTGGTTACTAAGAACAGTCTAATACCGTGGAAGCCTGAGCACTGATCTGATCAAATTTTTGATAAAACATACAGTCAAATGAAATGTAGGAAAAGATTGTATTACAAAAACTACGCTAGCCAGTTCTTTTGGATGAGATGGAAAAGAACAGGACTGCAGTCTTAGAKCTTGCGAAGCAAGAGGGGAACAACAAGTGTGCCGATTGTGGGGCGAAAAGTGAGCAAAGGAGTATTGATACTGAAGCGTGATCTGAAAGTTCGAGTTAGCGCAAATTTGACTGATTATTCTGTTCGCCTTTTCGATGCGTTTAGATCCAGAATGGGCCTCGTCGACCAAGGGTATCTTTATATGTATCACTTGCAGTGGAGTTCACAGAAACCTCGGTGCACAAATGTCAGTTGTAAAGTCTCTTCGTTTGGATACATGGACCGACGAGAAGTTCCAGGTTAGTCCAACCCTTTTGTCAGCTGCTTCGAAATGTAATATTCACTTTACTTGACATCRTGCCTTGTGCACAGCTGCTGAATTGCGAAAGTCATTCATTGTGATGCTCCTTTGGCGTATGAATTCTCGGCAAAATATGATTTAAACTCTTACAATTCTTGACGGAAATTRGGCAAGCGACATTCCTCTCGTTCTTCATGTCATCTAACCCCACGAGGAAGTTGTTAATAATACAATGTTATATTTATAAATAGTGTCTTGSCTAAGTAATTAAGTTATTGCAATTGTGTTGTCAGAAGATTAGATCACAATTGTCAATCAAAACAGCTTCCTTAAACTGGATTTTGATAAATAATCCTGCAATGAACAAAGAAGTGTAGTTTAGTACATAAACTGACAATCCTCACATAAATATTGGAATTTTGAAATGAAAAAGAGGACTTAGTCGAAATGAAGTAATTCCGTGTAACTTAGAGTGCAAGTTACATAAGCATGAAACAATTCTTAATATGTATTGCTAAATAAGATTTAGTTATCAACTAACTAAGAATTCAACAAAGCATAAACACAATGCCAATTATTTAAATTTCTTTGTAGAATTGTTCTCAATTCTTAGCCACACTAGCCATTTCTGCTGCAACTTCTATCTCCTACAAACAAATTGTCACAGGCTGCATGCCCTATTTAATTTCCGAAGCAGTTAGAAAAATAGCAGCAAATTGAAACTTTTTTGCTTATATTTCTTAACTTGATTTTATACAAAATCACCTCCTTTAAACAAGGAGAAATTTATAAATCATGATCAGATGAGATTGTGACAATCTGGGCAGACAATTACAATGTCATAATGAACTGCTTCTTGAGATACCTACCAATCTGCATTTAAGGCTAATTTTGACATCTTTGACAAAAGAAAAAACTTAATTTTACAAGATTAGTTACTGTCCCCACCTTACTGGATATGAAAAAGTTTAGTCAGACTTGTACGTATTGATTGATAGATTATTTCAGTCAGTTGAATAAAAATCTGAATAATTGATTGATTGATATAAAGTTTTGGATATTGATTGATCAATGATTTCTTTCAGTGCATGGTAGAAAATGGAAACATCAAAGCAAATTCATATTGGGCTAAGAATGTACCAGTCTGGTATCGGAAAGCCACATTTACAGATCCACAGTAAGATATCTTATATTACAGATAAGAATATGATATATAGTACAATATAAGCAAATATTTAATAATATAGTTAGTAAATGTCCACTTATTTGTCTGAGATTTTATTATTCAGAAAGCAAGAGCTTATGGACCCTATGTGTTGCCTAGAAACGTTAATAAAATTTATTGCTCACATTCAAAAATGGTTTTTGTTCGGCAGTGTTTTACGAGAACAGTGGATACGAGCAAAGTATGAGAGAAAAGAATTCATAGATGGAGCAGAAGTACCAAGATATGGACTGTCAYCAGGTATTGTGTATGAATTTTGGAAGTATGGCAATGCAGGGCATGAAATAACGGCCAGACATATGCTGGACAAGATGTCCTTCCAAATTCATTTTTGGAAGGTCAAGTCGAATTTTGAAAGGACAAAAACTTTATTATACTATTATTTTCTTTTAATTKAGAGGTTTTTGTATTCAGAAAGATCGGCAAGCATTTTAATGGCTTGTAAAAGATTTATTTGGCAAATTGGAAATTGATTGTTTGTTTTGTTGTTTTTTTTGTTTTTTTTCGTCTAAAAATGTGTGAGGTCAATTTGTCCTTTCAAAACGCGATTTGGCTGGTCATCTAGTGAATTTGGAAGGACATTGTCCTTTGACCGGCCGTTATTTTGAGCCCTGCAATTCAGTATTTATTTGAACCCTAACCCAATTTGGTCATTTGTTTGAAGAAGGCCAGCAGTAAAACTTGYACTTCTGCAAAGAAGACCATTGCCAACGTATTGCTCTTTTTGCAATGTTTTAAAATAATCTTTGTTTGCTTGTTTGTTTGTATTTGTAGATGGCGTCAAAGTAGGCAAACTTAAAAAGAAAATGAAAGATGGAAACAGTTGGAATGAAAGGCTATTTATTTTATCACAAAAAGATAATTCACTGGCTTACTTTATCAAGGAAACAGTAAGAATAAAACACAACATTAAATATTCTTCATTAACTAGAGCATTTCTCATGRAATGTACTCTAGCCTACAGCACTTCATTTGGCAATGAAACTTTGTCACGCTTTGACTCTTACACTTCATTCTTTGCTGGTTTATAGAAACCACTCTATATTAAGGATATGTTAGCTATACTTAAAGTTTAGATAGCAAACATTTGCAACAACATTTTAATTCAGGATGCTCACCCAAAAGAAGTCTTRAAAGTAACAGAACTTAATGTGGTATTTGGTGARGAAAAAACTAACAAGCAGTACAGCTTGCAAATCACAACACTTCACAATGGTCAAACAAGGAATTATTTTGTCTATTCAGACTCAGGAAATGTGAGTATTTGTAATTATATCAATATTCTTGGTATRCTCTTTAAGGGTGATAACTAAATAATTATTTGTAATATTTTGTTTGTGTTTCATTGAATGAGCAAGAAAAGTCAATACTAGTATCCTTTGTGTTTTTTTTTTACCTTTCTTTCTTCCTTTTCTCCTCAGTTTTCTTTCTTTTAATTTTCTAATAAGTACTCTTCACTATTATTATATGTATTTTCACTTTTTCTTCTCATATTTTCTTCTGGTCTTCTCTTCTCCTTAACCATATTGTCCTCTTCTAATCTCTGTCATCACATTTTCTTTCCTTTAAATGTATTCTCATATAATACTTTCTCTCTATTATTTCATTTATCGTTTTTGTACTATTTTYATCTCGGATTCTCTCCTTTTCACCTTGTCTTGTCTTTCCCCAATTCTTCATTTACAATTCAATTCGATAGTGATTTAGTCTTTTGCATGTGTATAACAGGGTCTCTGTGCTACAACATCAATTCTAATCCTTGATTAACATTGATTAAMATTTCAGGAAATAGTTAATTGGTACATGGCCATTAGATCCGTCAARTTTCACCTACTTGGRCTCAACAAGCCTGGTGTTACACCAGAAGAGGTACATGTTTTATGATTGTTAAGTCTTTCTGGGGCTGCATTTAGTACAATGATTTAACAAACTGTATATTTCTTTAACAGATCAATGACTTGCTATCTCGAGATTTCACWATAGAAGGATTTCTTAAGAAGACTGGACCAAGGGTAAGTTAAGTTAAGCATTAAGTACCTTTGTCAAAATATTGTAGCCATGTTTTCTTTTGTTTGTTTTTATAATTGATCTGTATTTGTTTGTTTGTTTGTTTGTTTTTTGTTGTTTTTTTTTACTCCTTTCTTCTTTCTTTACTCTTTCCCTGACTGAATTTTCCCTTTCATCTCRGTTTCATTATTTCATCTCTTTCTGTATTCCATCATTTCTTTCTTTCCATCTGCCTACTAACTTTTGATTAACACAGTTTATATCCCAGAATTTTTTTTTTAGAAGATGTTTTACACACTCTAGTACTGCACTGTTTCAGGGACTGCAGTTTTAGGCTTACAAAAAGTATTGATTTATACATGTGTTTTTAATAAAGGAACGGGAACCCTGGAATAAGCGATGGTTCACATTGGATAACAGACGACTTCTATACTTTGATAAACCAATGGTTAGTTTAATGATATGCCCATTGTTTTATAAATTTACTTTGAAAGGTACTATTCCAGACAATATTCTTAAAGTCTTAAAAAGTCCCTACAAAGTTTAGTTTTGTCATTGTAAACTGCAAAAATTCCTGGAATATATCCTGCGAACAGAGTGTATTTTACCTTACCTCAATAAAAATTTGCGAAGGAAATTAACAATGTTATATGATAATGTTATTTCCTTCGCAAATGTTTTACTGATGTAAGGTAAATAACACTCTGTTCGCAGGGTACCTGGAATAAGTCCTTGAATTTTAAACCTTAGTATAAATCCTCCATAAGCTTTATATTTTATGTYTTTCTGATTAGGATGCTTTTGCAAAGGGAGAGATATTCGTTGGATCTTTAGCTGATGGTTTTAAAGTTTATGAGGGAATTACAACAGGCCAYAAAGTAGAAGGACATTGTTTCACCCTCGCTACCCCACAGCGAAATTATAACCTGAGTGCCGACACTGAAAATGAGAGGGATATGTGGATGAGAGCGCTGAATGATGTCATGTCACAACCTTTGACAGCAAAGGAAAAGGAAGGTACAAATAACGCCTGTCTCTACCCCCCTTACATATCTCTTCTACTGGCCCTACCCCTGTAATAAATGCTACTGTCCCTTCCCCTAATGTTCACAATTTATTGATTTTGATGAGAGCACTTAATGATGTCATGTCACAACCTTTGACAGCAAAGGAAAAGGAAGGTACAAATAACGCCTGTCTCTACCCCCCTTACATATCTCTTCTACTGACCCTACCCCTGTAATAATGCTACTGTCCCTTCCCCTAATGTTCATAATTTATTGATTTTAGCTATGAMTGAGACACTGGAAGCAAACCAAACAAAGCGAAGATCATTCATCTATAAACCAAGAGCTAAATCGCTTGACGGATGAACCCAATCATATTTTTCTTTTTCTTTTTTGACATATAGTGAAAGAACTTAAAGGCTGATTTACACGGCACGATTGTCTCGTGCGATTTGTAGTATACGACTTGAATCGCGCAGTGTAAATACCCCTACGACAACAGTCGTACGCAACCTATGACTTGTAGTAGGGTTTTGAACCACTGCTTAAAATCCTACGACTTGTAGTAGGAAAATCGTATACTACAAGTCGCGCGCGACACATCGTACCGTGTAAATCAGCCTTAATCCTTACGTAGTTATGCGAATTCCTTTGTTTTTTATCATTTTATCCACAGTATTTAGCACTGTTTAGTACTACTTGGTTATTGCTTCTTCGTGCTTTTAACAATCAATTGTATTTTATTTACAAACTCCAGTTTCACGGATTAAGTTCACTTCACTTAATAATTATGATTTTTTCAAGTAGCAGTGCAGTTCATATCACATAGGCAGTTTGAATTTTTAGTTTTCTTGAGACAGCGGGSTTAGAAATAGTTTGCCCTGTGAAAAATTTTGTTTTACACGACAATAGGATACCTTCAATTATTTTTCAATATAAATTTGATCCGGTTCCTATTGTAAAAATCCTTAACCAATATATTATAATTAAGAAAGTAAAAGAAATGATCAGCAAATCCACCAAATTTAGGCTCTGATCGGCTCTGATTGCGTTGTGGAAGGTTGTCATTCATTTCTCATATCCAACATATATATTTTTTTAGTTGTTAATTTAAATAATTTTTAGCGCCCGAACTTGATATCGTCAGTATTTTATTTGGACGAATGTTGAGTAGCCAATCATAGTGCTTCTAGTGTCAAGTTTTATTAAGGGCGAAATGAAAGAGTTATATCTGAGTGTAAATATGACATAACTCGGTCGTTAGATTTATGTAAAAGAAATATTATGTAAACGAAAGCTGTATAAGAAAGTAACATAGGCATTCTAACAAGCAGTCTAAAGTTAAATTTTAGATAAATTTTAGGAATTTATTGAGCTCGCTAGCAGGTAGACACGTTTTGGGGCAAAGYCTCATGACTCGTGCACAGTCGTCTCGCATTTCGCAAGGCATCAATGGAAGGAGGGAAGAATCTTCCTTCCCTTGATGCATTGGGAGCGAAAGACGACATATAAGAATCAGGTCTCCGTATTCGAGTATATGTTAGGAGCTCGAAAAAAAAAGATTTCTGTTAATGTTCCACATGTCTGTGACGTAGTAGAACATTTTCGGTGKTTGATTAAGTGGGAATTATTGATCCTGAGTACCACAACAATTAAYAATTGTGCAATTAAAAAATTCGAACAAACTTATGTTGTTCAGTTTTTCTATAGCCAGAAACGTTTCTTGACTCCACATCAAAGGCTCAATCTCACATGTGACAAARTCAGTAGTACGTGGACTTAGAGATGTAAAGGGAAAAGGAAAGACGACGCTACATCATTCTGAAATGTATACTTTTTTCACACTTGAATACGTACAATGACCCTTAATTATATCGCCTAATAACGTCACATAAACATCTTATTACACTCAATGTAAACATGCTGCGACGTCATTATGCAAGAGTATAGTTCTGTATATGTAATGTCCATAAAACAGTATAAAATAGTCTACCGACCGTAATTTAGCATTTCATGGGAACACTGTGTTCTCTTCGGTGGACTTCTGTAAAATAACCTAGTCACTGATTCTTAACGAGTTTGATACCATATTTGGCAAGCCTTTGTTTTTGAGATTTATACGACACCTGTTTTTCAAATTCAGAAAACAACAACCATAGGCGGCACTGAGGCCAAAAAAAGAAAAGTTATAGATTGAGCTTGTAAAGTTACAAAATAGCCAGTCAGTGTCAAAACTTTGAAATGTTATCACGACAAACCCTTTGTAAAAGATCTTCTAGATTGTGTTTTACCCGCTTTTTATGTTATTAAAACTGTTTAGGGTTGTAATAAAAGTTTTCAAAGTTTGACGCAATAGTTATCAATAATGTATGGGTCATGATAATGACAAGAATTCAAGAATGATAACAAGCTAATGGAGTGCCGTTTAAAAAAAACAGTTTGAGTACTTCTTACTCGAAGTCGGGAAAGTTCTCTAATCGAGGGTCTAATCATGGTTGATGTTCTGTTTCTATGGGTTACTTTTGTCTTGTTCATCAACAACAGTAAAGGTAAGAATCTATTCTAGATGTCAACAAACATGAGTTTGCTGTGGTGAACATTATCTCCACCAAGTTCACGACGCAGTTTGAACTCAACAAGTGAAATTTTGTATGTCATATGAGTGTAACTATAGATCATGCTAATCTCCCTTTGACAATCGCCGTTTGCCGTTCTACCCAACAAGGTTTT